TGTAGGGATCGAAGCTTTAGTCCAAGCAGAGACAAAACAAAGGCTGTTTCCAAAGGAATGGGATGTGCTTGTACCTTAAAGCTTCTGTTTCATCAAAGCCTTTTACGAAGTCCCACTGTTCCCATGTGGTACTGTAGATTCTAAGGTACTACTGGGAATATTGCCATAAACTACACAGGGCTTTGGAGCAAATCCAGAATGACTTGCTTGAGCTCAGTCAACGAGTCTGAGGAGCCAGCAGCACCACCCAGGCTCCTGCCTGCCCATGCTCCTCAGAGCTAATGCCTGGGATCATTGCTGCTCGAAGGCTCTGCTAGGGCACCCAAGCAAGGTCCCTCTTTAGGATTCCAGTCAGCTCCTTTATAAGGATTCAAGTCATATTGTGGCTCTGTCTCCTTTCAGTCAGCAAAGGGAAATGTCTTTATTAAAGTCCTGAATTGGCATGAAGGGCAGCAATCATCTTTTCCTTGTAAGATTAAAATTGACTTTTCAACTGCAGAGCCTGACATCTCCTTTTCCCTCCCGAGGAGAACCCCGTGGGGTGCACTGAGCACTGAGCTCACGTGTGTGCACACACAGAATTTCTGTGCCAGGCAATAACAGCTCCAATTCCAATGTCAGCTCACCCGTAACCTGCAGGGCTGCAACAACCAAGTCAGTTCTGATGGTTGATACTTCTATAGTGAAAACATTACATCAGCCTAAGCTGCCACCTCTCAACTCATTGCATGAGAGCTGACGAGAAAACATTAGTTAGTACCAGATTTTGTCTGCTGTTGGCTGGGAATGGTTCTGAAGTAGTCTGCAAGGTGAAAGGACCAGGGTAACTGCGGCGAGGGTAAGTTGCAGATACCTCCACCGTTTGAAAGTTGTGGATTACCCAGACAGGTCAAACATCTCCAGCCTGGGCAAACCACAAGGGTCACTGGGAGTGTCACTCTCAGGGCTGGTAACAGCTCCACTGGAGAAAGATTGGCTACCAGCTGAATGCTCATCTCCCTCCCACCACCACCACAGCCCCTGGCACGCGGCTTGGCACGACGGGATGGATGGGCCAGGCTGACCCTGGGTACACTGAGCACCGTGGAACTGGCATGGTCTGACTTACTGTGATCATAACAGAGTTCCAGGTGGAAGAGAAGACATCTGTGTCATTGTTCCTCTGGTAATGCTTCTTCAGCTCCTTGGTGAAAAACTCTCTGGTCAGCTGAAATGCACAGACAGGCAGAAATGTAAAGGCTACTGCCAACCCCTCTCCCAAGCACTTCCCAAAGCTCCTCCTGGGGGTTCTTTGGTTGGCTTGGGTCTGTTCTTTTGTTTGCAAACCTCAGAGGAGAAGCATGGGCAAAGCCCCTGGCTGCACCATAACTGTGTGCAGGGTGAAGGGTCCCTGGTGAGTAAAACTGCCCCTAAAAAATCAGGGCTTGGATTATATCTGTACATCTGAGATAACATTTATACCTATAGGTTGGGTTTGGTTTTTTTTAATTTTCAGTGCTATTTGAAAGTGTTTCATAAATTGAAACAGATTTTAGAAAGATCTTCAAATCCACACTCAAATAGCAGTTTCACTTGCTGTGCTTCCTGAGGTCTGCACCAAAGCAGGATTTACCCACACACCTTTCATTTCAAACCAGTAAACTTCCCATTAACAACAGGAAAACTGCTCCCAATTCACTTCCACATGTGAGAGAGAAGGATGCAGCCCTAACGTGAAAGTTGCTGGGAATGAAAAGGAAGTAAAAAACCATACAATGAATAGGAAGTGTCCAAGCAGCTTATGAATCTGAGAAAAACCCACACTATTTTCCTGGCAATGCCTTGAATTGTCTAAACTAACCCAGACACATGAAGGAAAAAAATCCTCTTTATAGTTCCAGTCTTTAGACAATTTAAACACTTTTCCTAAGATCAGCAATATAAAGAAGTGGAATTTCATTTACTCCTGGTTACATTTACAGTAAAATAGAAGAAATACACAACTAGTTTGGCTCAGAGTCTTCTCAAAACCTTAGACACCTTGAAATTACATTTACTTAGGATCACTCTCTGGAGGAATAGTAAATACAAAATCCTAATAGGCTTGTTAGGCTGAACACCCCAATTCAATCTTGTTGTTTTTCTGTCACTTCAGGAAGAAAACTTCAAGAAATTCCCTTTTCAGGTTCCCAATAGGTCTTGACCTGTGTGGTCCTTTCTCCAAAATACCTTGGGATTTGTGATCCACACAGGCAAAGTCTTCTGCCCTGCAAAGCCGCAGCAGACGGAGCAGGAATTGGCTGGCAGCAGTTCTGCCCTGGTGCTGCATGTTTGCAGGAGGAGGGTGAAGCTGCTGAAAAATGCCCTTTTTCCCCCGTTGCTCATCCAGCACTGCTGACGCAGTAACAGGATCTGCTACAAGCTGCTTTGGGGTTCTTGCTATGCAACGTGAAATATCACACATCCACATCCATATGGATGAGATCTATGGGTGGGCACAAAAGTGCTTGTTGCCTTTGTAGCTGTGTCACAAAATTTCAGGGGAAAAAAGAAGAAAAAAGAGAAGGCTGTGGGGACTTTTTAAAACACTCTGAATACCACTTAATATTGACCTCTGTTTTACAAATGCAAACTAAGGCCAAGTTTAATGACTGTGTCAATACTGGGCAAAACTTTGCCACAAATAGTTGAGCCATGCAGTTAGCTCAGTCTCACTGCTTTTTAATTAGATGTGCTGCTGAATTCCTAAATAACTTTTTTTTGACAGATATTAACTCTTTATTTTTGCTTTTGTATCTTAAAAGACCAGAAGGCACAGCATTTTTCCTTTGGAAATTTGGTGCACTGAAGGAAGATCAGATTAGAAGGTGCTGAAATGTG